ACATGCTTGTGTAGATAATGGAGTGGAAAGGAGGAAGCTTTCAAAGAACAGAGTGCCTTTAGTCCGTAGATCAAGCAGCAGGAGGTAGACTACAGAGATTTTAAGGGTCAGGACCTAAAGGCTGGGGTTACTTCTTAGGTCACAAAGGGTTAATGACCTTTTTAAAATGGAAACCATTAAAAACAATGTAAATTATTCTTTTATTCTTTTAATAGAGTTGGTTACATTTATTGTAGTGGATGTCTAAACATGTTTTTAACATTTAAATGAATGAATGCACTGTTAATCATTTTGAAAGGGAATTTAATTAATTATTTGATTAATGATAAGATACTGTAAGAGAACACATAACAGGCTTTGTTCACAAAGAGGGTCCAATTTAATTCTCTGCCCCAAAACTGACACTTGTGTCTTTGCCAGTTTCCCAAATCAAGTGTTATTACACGATGTACAGTATTCCAGTCATCAGAGTTATCAGGGTTTCCAGGATTTCGGAGTCAAAGAAAAAATATTCTGATGTCAAAAGATTTACTATCAGATTATTCTACGATGCTGCTATGACAGGGATATCTTCCTTTTTTGGTAGTTTTGGTAGGGGGTCCTTCAGTGTGACACAGACCCAATCAGCGAGGGTTTTGTAAGTACAAAGTAAAAAAAGATTCAATGATTTGAAAATTGGGTAAAACAATTTAAAACTTGCTTGAAAATTCAAGAATGTATTTATTTGTTGGATTTATAAACTATTATTTAACATGACGTCAACTACTTTATTCTAATTCATTATGAAGACCAGCTACACATTGACATAAACGCATTTCGGCTGTTAAAAAATACTCGTATGCATTTTTTAAATTTAAAGAATGTTCACATTTTAGCCAAATATTATCCCATTTATAATAAAGTTTATTTATTTTATAAGTTTAAACATCTTGACCTGAAGTTCCTCTCAGGTTACTGACCTGGTTCCTGCAGGGTCTTCAGAGTCAGGAGCAGTTTTAATGGAGAATCATCAAAACACAATGTCAGTCATTGTGCAGCCTAACATGATACTCATATCACTGAGGCAAACAATCAAACGTAGTGAAGCCTAACAGAGAGGAGTGTTTACTTTAACACTTTAAGTCAATACAGTGCAGTGCATCAGGAACAAACAGGAAACCTTCTACAACTAAGGATTGTCTGAGCTTTAATTTAAAAAGAAAGTATTTCATCAGGTGACATGTTGTAGGCTCCTGTGTAAACACACAGTCTATAATCACACCTAATCTGCCACCACTTTGTGTTCAGTGTCTTCACTGATCTGACGTTCTAAAACTGTATCTGCTACAGTTGTGGCTCACTGTGCATCAGCAGGTGACCACACTTATTCACACACACGGACACACACACACACACTCACACATGGGCACACGCGCACACACACACACACACACACACACACACACACACACACCATGGACACACACACCCACGGACACACACAGACACAGACACACACACACACACACAGACACACACACACACACACACAGACAGACAGACACGGACACACACACACACACACACACACACACACACACACACACACACACACACACACACACACGCAGACAGACAGACACTGACACACACGGACAGACACACACACACACACACACACACACACACACACACACACACACACACACACACACACACACACACACACAGACACACACACACACACACACACACACAGACAGACAGACACGGACACACACTCTCAGATGCTAACATAAACATAGTCACAGAGTGCCCTGCAGTGATGCCAGTCATTCTCTTTATGTCTGACTGCTTCTCATTGAAATGGCAGGACTATGAAAAGACTGCTCTCTGTTTTTATAGAAGAAACGTTTGTCTCTTCAGTCTGGATGTGGATTCAGTCTGCATACAGATGTTAACCCTGGAGCACTGAAACTAACACCATATGGCACAGTCTTCTTTTCACGTCCTCCGTAGTGTTTGTAGCTGGACTGAGAAATGATTCTTCTTCAGTCTTCATCAGTGTAAAGGCTCTGTTGTGCAGAATAAGAGCGTGGCTTTATCTGCTTTTGTTTGGGACTGATTCATACGGATTGATGGACCTCAGGTGTACTACTTTAGAGTCCCCACAAGAGACAGGATGTATCAAAGTGTTAAGGCCATATAAGCAAATGTATATAATTTTCATATATATAAATATGAGTTCTTTGCATTGTTGCTTTGTAGAAAAAAAATATTAAAAACACTATGAATTTTCCAGTGAATCAGATTCTTTCTTCAGCTCTGGTTCGCTTGATTCAGCCTTAAAAACCAGGACACACACACCTGCCCGGATACACACGCTCTTCCTCAGACAGTGACACACGCTGCTCTGTCCTCAGGTCTGCAGAGATCTCATTTAGATAACTCACCTGATCTCTCAGTACCTCCCATAGTCTCCCCTCTTTGCTGAATGTATCCCTTATGTTAGTTAGCATATGAGGAGATAGCGAAAACTTCAGCGGATCCTTTCACTTTTCACTTTAGTGAACGATCAGTGAGAGCTAAAGGCAGTGACTGAACTGGGTAGTTCCCTTTCATATATTCTTTTGCAATAAAATTTGCCATGCATTGCTCCACCAAAGAGTAACAGCCTGCACTTTGCACTTAAACACTTTGCAGGAATTATCGTTTATCTCCCTAACAAGCATTCATCTTGTGACAGTTATGATGAAGCCGCCCATTAGCTGTGTGCAATGTGCTGCATTGATGCTTTTAAAGAGTTGGGTACTTAGCATAACCAAATCAGCCTCCGCTGCCATAATTCTAGTTGTCTCTTTCTCTTTTTAGTCTGGAGCTGTCCCTGCAGCTTCCCACCTCCATAGTGCTTACATTACCCATCTGCATGTGTGCTTGTGTTTGACACAGAGAGAGAGAGAGAGAGAGAGAGAGAGAGAGAGAGAGAGAGAGAGAGAGAAATACGGATGGCCTGGATAAGACCCTTGAAAGTGGCATGTGTATTTATATCCTGTAGTGCTGGTGGAGGGGTGTGTCCGCTGCTCAAGTGTTTTAACCATCAAAAACATTCTGCCTTCTCATAAAGCTGCTCTGTGGGAAACTGGGCTGATATCAACTTCATAAGATGCAGTAGGTCCAAACCCACATGTGCCTTTAGATGTCACAATATTTAAGGGGTGCAACAAGTTGTTAATTCAACATCGATCGAAAATATATCTTGACTTACATACATAGCAGTGTTTCCCCACTGCAATGCAGGGCTGTACAATTTAAAGTAGGCGAGTTAAAATGTTGTTAAATGATTTATAAACTTTAGCAAAGTCACAGTTTCATTCCCTGTATTTGCAAACTGATTTTGACAACAACCCTGCTTCATTACAAAGTTACATCACCTTCAAAGTGAGGCATTAAAAATACCTTACAGCCAACACCTGTCCAATAATGTGACTCTCTGGACTGTGTCACTTCATCACGGTGTTTGTTTTAGTTTGACTCTGAATATTTCATACAATATCAACTGATAAATGATGCACGAGCTGCATAAACTCTCTGTAGTTATAATCCAGATGTCTGCTCTACTTTATTCAGGTTTCATTCAGAAAAGCAGACGTACAGGATGTGTCAGATCTTTGCTTTTGTCAGTGCCCAGAAATCTCTGTCTTCTCATCCTCGTATAATGACAGAATTGTTCAAAGGGGTATAAACAAGTGTTGAGTTTTCATAGAACATCCTCCCAACAACTAGGTCTACAATGCTAGAAGCTTATTACTGTTACTTTTCTGTTATATGAATGGTAAAGGTGATAACCAGTAGCTGCTAAAGAAGAAGACCGTTGATGTTGGACAAAGACCTCTTTATCTGAACATTAAAGTACAAGAAGATGGCTAATAAGACCAGTTTTATACACCTTGTAAATGAAATACATACTAACGTTACTAAGTTTAATCAACTTATGTCAACTACATAACCTGACATATGTTTACTAAACTTTTGTCACTAACATAGTAATTTAAACCCAATCCAGGATGTTTTCCTAAACATAGCGTGTGCTTGTGTTGTTTGTCTTGTATGTCTATACTTACTAATGGTCTTACTGTATATGTCAGTGTGAAGTCACTCTTTGTTTAGTTATCAAGCTAATTGTTTGGACTGCTGAAACTATAATACAAAAATATTTTTTAGAGAATAATAAAATTATTCAATGCCAGTGACACCTCTGGCAGACAAGTCTGTGAAAATGTTGTTATTTGTGCTGCTGCTTGCAGAGGTGAACATTTCCTTGTACCCTCTACCTACCAACACACTTGCTTCTCTCTCTCTAAGTCTCATGTAATCCTGACAGCCTGCCGCTGCTTGTGTGTGTGTGTTGTGTGTGTGTTTGTGTGTGTTTGCCCTCAGTACAGGGCCTGTCCCTGGCTGCCACCGCTGAATGTCCCCTTAGCATCTGCAAATGGCCACGGCTCTGTCACAGCCGCTGACTGCACCAGCTGTTTGTTTCCCTTTTCTTCCATCTTATCTACTCCGTCACACTATCTTTTTTTCCTCCCTGTGAAAGAGGCAGCGATAGGGCGCCTGGTGGTGCTGCACTTGACACCAAAGTTGATATCCACACATGCTGGCATCAGTGGGAGCCGCTTTTGTGTGTGTGTGTGTGTGTGTGTGTGTGTGTGTGTGACAGGGCAGCCAGGACACAAACACTGTCCTGTGGATTGTGTGGCCACAGAAGACACTTAGACTTTTTGTTGCTTTTGTGGTTGTGTTGACAGATGGACAAGTGGGGAGGACAGTAAAGGTCAGAGGGTTGCTCAGTTTGGGATGTGGCCAATCAAACTCAGTTAGAGAACAATGAAAGTGAAATGGGATGGGTCCGGGCTTAAGCTGTCTGGCCATGCCTTGGTCCAGGCTGCTGGCGTAGGCACTTTTTTGTGCCCTGTGCGTCTCACATTGGGAGTTATCAGAGCGTGCAGGCAGGAAGAGTCACTGCATCAGCAGCAGACTAGCAGTAGTAGTAGTAGTAGAAGAAACTCCTGGGGCTGCAAAGGGTCCATGATCTACCCAGATTGGTCAATCTGATAACTTCACTGAAGTGTCTCTCCTCTTTGGAACTCATTTGCTCAAAATTAACATCCACGGTTCGAGCATGGGATTACATTTTTCATGTTTTTTTGAAAGACAATTGAGCATAATGGATTTATTGGAGTGAAATTTGACTTTGATGAGGTTCTGATTGTCCTCACGATGGCTTATCCAGAGCACTTTGATTTTCTGAAAGAAACTGTGCATTTTTGGCCAGGTAAGAGCAGTGATGTAATGGGTATTTTCATGTGGGTGGAATTATATGTAAGCGTACTTGGATGAAATATATTCTTCGTCAAAGCTATAATTTAACATCCTGTGGATTCTTGATTACCAGTCTTGAAACATGATTTCAATGAGGGATGCTACAAACTCCTCAGCAATGTTTCCAAACACTGCAAATGATGAAAAGCTTCTCATTCAGTTGATGCCGTTTACTGTTCTACAAATAAATCTCGGGGGAATAAAAGGTGAAATGTGTGGGCGGAAAGTTTCTGAGCAAATTAAATCACCTCAAGTAGCAAGATCTGGAGAGGACAAGTGGATGAAAATGGGACAGAATTGAACAACAAAGCAGGGCATGACCAAGGACTTGAACCAAGAAATTTGTGATTTGCACATTTGACTTTACTCTGTGCCTGTTTTCTCTCACTCTAATCAAGTACAGCTGCATTCATGTACACCAGGAAAAGGATGCTATCCTAAACGAAAGTGTACCATAAGGCTTTCTCACGTTTGACCTTCTTTTTAAATGTAGAACTCCTCATCTCCCCCTCAGTGGTGACTGAAGCAGGAAACATTGCCCCTCCCTCATCTTGTTTATCTGAAGGAACATGTGTCCTTTTTCATGTAGCATTATCAATTATGTATGAAATGAATTAGCATATTTATGCGCGAGTGAAAGTGAGTGATCTGCAACTCAATACCAATTTATGACTCTGAATTACAATCTGAGGAATACAAAATGAATGTGGTGTGATGAAAACACATGAATACATCATGCTGCAGCAGACTGTTAACATGCACTGCAGGAACCAAAAATAGACACAGTGTATTGACAAACACCAACACTCGCATGCATAAGGTCCTTGTTTCCTGTTTAAGTCTGTGTGTATGTTCAGGTGGTGTTGTACAAAAGGGGAAACGCCTGTGGAGGCTCAGATGGTGACAGATGGTTTAGAGACAAATCAGCCTGGGAGTCAGGATCTCTGGACTAGTCTTCTTTGAGTATCTTTGAGTGTGTATGTGGAGTGTTTGCTCTTATGAATGCTTGCCACATTAAAGCAATAACATTCAAGATGTTTATTCTCATTCCAGTTAGAAAAGTACAATCATGTGAAAATCTTTTGCTGAGAGGCCGCATTTTAAACTATAGGGATGTTTGGGGGGGAAAAAAGCATGTTATTTAGGGGTATAAATTCAGGGTTTTAAAGGGCTAAAAAATGAACAGAGCATAAATATACATTACATACATACAGTAAATTAGTTAGTTAGGCAATATCACAGAAGAGGTCTTCTGAATATCAGCATGGCTGTTAAATTATCAAAGCCATGTGTTACAGTACTCAGTACGACAGGATGACCTGGAGTGCGATATCGCTTTTAAACAACAGTAATATGCAACTACAGATTATTTCTGGTTTAGTTGATCATTCATTTGACTCTAAAACTAGGTTTGCAACCTCACTGGAGCTGGACTGTTGCCTCACAACATAAATACACACTTGATATTTTGTGTTTCTGCTTGTTTTAGCACACCAGCAACTTTTATATTTTGTACATTTATCAGTAGCTTTTTATTTATCATGCTACTTGTGTGATATGAGGTACATCTTGATGATCAAGACCAACACTAGCCCTTTTCATACTAACTGCTCTGCTGTCATTACACCTTCAGATTCATATTGTTTCTTCAACAGTGTAACGTTGGTAGTCTGTGTATTCACATTGAAAGAGAACACGGCACAGCATGAGCTACACATATACACACACAGTCAGACATGCGCACACACACAGAATGCTTTTCTCGCCTGCTGGCTCCGCTGATCCAGTCTGGCCCATGTAACGTCTCTGTTACGGAGACGGAGCCGGAAGAGAGAGGGAATCATGTCGTTGTCCCCCCCCCAATATGCTGCCGCGATATTCATATTGAAGGCTATAAGACTCAGTGCTGTTTCTCTCTGTATCAGCACTCCAAGAATGTGTTAATTCTTGGTCTGTGCAAACTGTTGTATAATTTACTTTGAGTGTCTCTGCACGACTGAGCATCTTTCTGTTGCGTGTGTGCGCATTAGGTTAAATCTATCATGTGTGGTGTGTAGCCTACTTGTGTTATGTAAGGCTTCTATTCAAGCAATGAATGAATGTGACTCTAGCTTTAATATACATTATATTGCTCTAGATTTCAAAGATATTTGTAAGGCACAAAAATATTTTGTAATTTAAGCGCTGAAATAAATGTAGAACACACACACACACACACACACACACACACACACACACACACACACACACACACACACACACACACACACACACACACACACACACACACACACACACACACACACACACACAGTCACAGCTCATTCCAGTCTCACACACCTAGATTAATGGAGTTTCATAATCTCTGCGATATATTACAAGGTGCACTCTTGGCAGATTGTTACTCTTTGGCAGAATAACCTTGCAAGCATTAGTCTGAAACTTCCCAAAGTGCTTTACAATCTGACCATAAATTACAGTTCAAGAGCATATTTTGCAGGCAGGAGTTGTGCAGTAAGTAGTTTATTAGCCTGTTCATGCACGCATTTCCCAGAGGGGTCTCTACATTCAAGTACATCTCAGTCCAAACCCTGTTTTGTGAGAGGGTCTCTGCTAAAAGCTCTAGAGGAGGAAGTTTTTGGGCTATGTAAGGGCATGATCAGGCACCTTTATTTGCTTTGTGTATTTGTGTGCACGTGTTCTTGTGTCTCACAGCAGTTGAGCTCGGCCTTATAGACAATTCAAGCCTGACTAGATTAATAACTCATTCCCGATGCATTCAATCCAGGGCAGGGGTTTCCAGCTTCACTAAGAAAGATGGTGCCCCAAAACATTTTTGTTCATCATAAAATAAAGGTTTAGTTAGGAAATCTCTACTTTTGAGCTGAACCTAACTGGCTTTTGACCGAAACCTGTCTTCCTTTGGTAATGTTGCCATTCAAGCTTTCAACTCCAGTATTGCATATACTGTAGTTATTTGCAGATTAGGAAGAATTTTTTTTAATGTCACACTGAACTTTTTGACAAAATGAACTTTTTCATGTTTTAAAATAGTTTGTTAGAAAATGAGAACTGGTAAGGGTATAAAATAAATTCAATGACACTTTTTTTTTAAGGTTTTGGCTTAAAGGTAATTTTCAAGTCCTTCAGCGGCTGCATGTGTCAGCTGATGATTCAGTGCAAGACGGCGACCCGTCCCTCTTAGTCACTGCCTGTCACTGCTGTGACTGGAAAAGGCAACTTTACAGACGATATTTACAAAATATTTGAGTATTGCCTTCTGTCAGATCATTTGTCTCCAGGGATTCTTTTTCCAGCTTCATCCTTAGCATTGTCTTTGTATACTTTTATTTTGTGAATGTCATTTGTAATCAGTTAAATGCCTATAGGTCAGTGTTTCATCAGGCAGAGGCCACTTTGTGTACACACGCTGAAAATAGTAACAAGGTCAGAAACCTTGGGTCGATCTGTGGAGGCTTCAGTGGACATCAGCCAAAAGTGGAAAGAGTTGCTGACATGTCTGCATTAGAGTGTCATTGCTAAGCTTTAAGTGGATAAGATGTAGATTTTTATTTTTTTATTTGTTGTGTTTGTTTTCAGGGATTCCTTTCAGGAGTTTTAGAACTATGACCGTGGATCAAAATGAGAATAAGTAATTAGAAGTTTATTTTTCTTTGATGTTTTTCAACACTTTTGTAAAGTATAAGAAAGAAACCAATCATTTAATGTTGAGGACCATGAACCAATAATATTAGTCATTGCCCAAAACGGCAGCTTTATTTGAGGTTTTGTTGGAAATGCTGATCTAAAAAAAAAAATGGATACATTGAAATTTTCAAGGCTTGCTTCACCAAAATACACAGCTGTATTTTAAACTCTGTGACTAGTAGGGGGCTCTAATACAATAGTTGCATAAAGCATTCTCTATGAGACACTGTTTTGCCCTTTAGGAATATAGCTCAACATCCTGCTGTGGAAGTTTTTGGTGTAGGATGCATAATCTATGAGGTTGTTTTCTCATGACTAAAACATGACTCACACTTTTGAAATACAAAGATATACTGTATCTCAATGTTTGCATTCAAGAATTGAGATCATTAATATACATTTGTTCTTTGATTGTTCAGAAAACATCCCCCTTTTTCTGTTTTTACCTACAAAGATGGATTATATTTGTTGTGATGCAGTAAATCTTTACAGTGTAAACCAAGGCTAACAGTGAATGCAGGTTAGAGGGCAGAGTTGTGTAAACATGCCTGTGGGATGAGGTTTCTATCTATGATTTAACACCTTTTTGATCCCGTATTGAGCTTTCTAAAGGCAGCAGTGTGCTGCATAATAACATTTTGTGCTATAATAGTGCTGCACTATGCATCACAAAAGCCTTAAGCCCTCTCAGTTTCCACTCTCTGCATGACTCTTTACATTTTTGCTTCTTCCTCCTCCCCTCGTTTCCTCCTCCATCCATTTCTCTCTCTCTCTCTCTTGAACCTCTCTAGCTTGCTTGTGCTTCTGTTCTTATCTTCCGCCCCACACTGTCTCTCTCTCTCGCTCTCTCTCTCCCTCCCATCAAACTATCGCTCCATCTTTCCTGTTTGAGGCCATTAATTTGTTCTGTCTGGCTCTCCTGCAGGGCAGCAAAGGAAGTGATTACGAAAGATTTCCGTGATTAAATCTGTTTTACCCTTGTCAGTTTGAAGTTACATTTAAAAAAAAAAAAAAAAGACTCTGGCGACTTCTTTCATGGCAGCCGCTCAGGAGGTACTGCTTCCTCCAAAGGCTAACTAACTAAACAGACACTTAGTAGCTATTTATGAGCATGCATAATGTTTTTCTGAGCCTGACCTTCCTTTGGCTAATTCCAACATAGTGACACATATAGCCTACATAATGAAGTCATGTGCATGTAGCTAAATAAACTTGATATCACATATTAAATCTTTTTAGCCTTGCCAAAATTAAGAATTAGAGTGTGATATATAAAGGAGTGAATCATAAATAGTGTTTATCTGCTCTACATAATAAATGTTAGCCTGGCATGTGGTGTCCTATAAGCTTACAGACCAAGTGTTCATGCCAAGACAAGAGGAAGCTCATTGGCAAACTATGACTTTTTGTTGTGTTGAAAAAATAATAGTATAGGACTGGATTATCCACCATGTACATGCTAAGAGACAAGTCTGAACCCAGAATTTAAAGGTACACTATGGAGTTTGGTAGAGAAATGTGAAAGTTTGAGTAATGTTCATAACACTATACACAAACTGTCCTGGTCCCTGTAACACTGTTTGAAGATAAAATGCGGTGGGGGGCGCACAACAGTGAAACCGTAACTCTCGTGGTAGATTTTTTTAGCTCCAAACAGTGTTCAGGGACTCATTTTTTCCTTTGAATAAAGTTTATGTATTTTGTTCAGCAAATATAGCGTAGAATTGTTTCATTTCTCCTACTTTAAAATTTCACTACCAAATCTACAGAGTGCACCTTTAAGCCACCTTGTTTTTTTATACAGTGCACAAGAAAATTCACCTATGGACACGAATGGTATGAACACTTTACATTATTTGTGTTAAAGCCCTAACAGAGGCGGTCGAAGAAAGTATTGCAGGAGTGGGGGTTGGGGGGGAAGATGTATGGCTTTGGTTTTGTCTGAGGACAATGGCTCCTAGAAGGGAGCAGCACAATCAAGTCTATTCACAGAAACATCATGACATTCTGTTCTGGGACTGGGCATCATCATTCACCCAAACCACAACAACAGGGTCAACACATTTCCTATCGGTGGTGTTGTAAAATACAGATTTAATCTTTTGTTGCTTCATACTGCATCAAAATCAAACCTTTCATAAAGGTCCTAACTTAGTGTCATATTTCTTCTCTTTCCTCCTTACTAGGCATTGTTTCATTTCTGTTGTTTATATTACATAACCAATGTGGACACTTGTTTTCCTAGCGTGTTTGGACATTTTTGCTTGTTCTTTAATAGTTTGTATCGTGCAGCGTCATAAGGCTAAGCTAAGCAGGCTGCAGAGTATTAGAGTACATAACAGCACATCACAACATCCCCCAAAGATTCAGTTTACAGCAGCCAATCTGTCTGAACTCTCTGGCATACTTCAACTGTGCAGCTTCAAGGCATGCAAACCTAAGTGCCCGCTATACTTATTTTATGCTAACCTTAAGGATTCAGTTTCTATCCCTTGTTATTGGTTGGTTTTTCATAGTTGTCTGTTGTATTCTGAGCCACATTTAGACAACTTCAAGTTTTTCTGCACATGATCAGTCTCTCTTCAAATCAAGGGGTCTGCTCTGAGGTGCACATATTAACTCAAATAATGATAACGCACTAACTGGATAATTATAAATAGGTCTTCTGGTAAGAACTGGTGTGTTTAAGACTATTTTGTGAGGATATTTAAATGAAAATTGTTCAGCTAATTCCAAGGTAAAGATTCTAATGAAAACAATACTTGTTCAAATCGATGTTGGTGACTTCAAGAAAAAAAGGGTTAAGAACCACAATTTTAAAATGGTGTGAGTTTTGAATGCAGTCTGTGTTCACTTGTAATGAAAAACTGAGCACATCGCTGTTGGAATGACATTCAGTAAGGCTTAATAAAGGTTGTGCTTGACATTTTTTGTCTCTGTAACTAAATGGCACCCTTAAGTAGCCTTGAAGAATTCATGCTAATTAAATGTCAAAACTTTGATAAGCATGTGCTTGAGCTCCGATGTGTGCAACAAAATGTATATAATGTGCTTTATATAGTATAATATTTTCAGAGGAAAAGTGCAGATTCAATGCAAAATTACTTCTCCAATCCAATGAGATCTTTGTTATGGCCATGAAATAAAACAGGAGCACTGATTGAGGAAGAATAGCTATGTATTTCATAATAAGACTCATGATCTTATAGTCCAAGTTACAGAAGGTGTAAAGTAATAGGCTGCATCTGTATTTATTGCTTTAAAGGTTATTAATCAGTGCTGCAGTTAAAATATGATTCTTAATGTGTTCTCTTTGTTTTTCCAGGTTTGCCAGGGTTTTCCAGCATGTTTGGGAAAAAGAAGAAACGGCTGGAGATCTCAGCTCCGTCTAACTTTGAGCACCGGGTCCACACGGGCTTCGACCCGCGGGAGCAGAAGTTCACAGGGCTTCCACAGCAATGGCAGAGCCTCCTGGCGGACACTGCCAACAGACCTAAACCCATGGTGGACCCCTCCTACATCACCCCCATCCAGCTGGCACCAATGAAGGTAGGGTGTGAATGGACAGAGGGTGTCAAACTGGGGGAACATCGTTTTCATTTCAGTCTTATTGCCTTTCTTGCTTCGTTGTGACTCCCTCTCTCCGTCTCTCTTTATCTTCATATCTGAATTATTTTCTCCTCAAACACTGTTATAAAAAGCAATCCCTTTCTTGTTTGTTCTTGATCTTCTCACTTTGCATATCTGTCTTTTTCTTCAGTATCACTATGTCTCACCACTCAAACCTCTACTTGTTACACTCTGTTGTCTAATCTGTTGTAGATCATTCTCCAGTGCCATCTGGCCACTTCACACTATTCCAACTGCATTTGCCAAAGACATTAATTCTAAAATATTATAAATTGTATTGCTTTAAACCTGCATTAAGCCATTTTTTAACACCGTCACTGTATCACCATGAGCTTTGGTGTCCTAAAGGAGTAATAGGTAACTTTGACGTCTAGTGGTTAAACTGGGTACTGCAGTCATTATTCCTTTTATTGGAAACATTGCAGAGCGCTGTCTGGCCCCCCACATGACAAGCTGACCAAGGTCATTAATTTAGTGAATTCGATTGAGCAATTTTTTAGCCTGATGTCCACGGTACTAATGAAGGGAGGTGAAAATATCTTTAGAATGTTGTTCTGATGTGTTTCAGGTTTGTGAATCAAATATAATGATGTGACGACTTGTTTGTTTTCGTTTTTCCCACGTCTTGATTGATTGAACAACTGAACGTATTACTGATAGTGAACATCCAGTCATTTTCACGTTCACAACACATCACATGACTTCAATGAAACAACATGTGGTTCAGCTTTAGCATTTGATAAACGTATCATCTGTCTGCTCCCTGCTGGTCAAAAAATTGCTTAATGCAGCTTCAAAGGCAAAACTTTATTTGACTTATGTCACAAAAACCCCACAGCAAACTGGTATTTGTTTTTCATTCTGACCCCCTCTGTGACTGTGATCGTGTGTCTCCTCTTGTCTCCCAAACTTCTGAGTGTCTCCTCTGATGTGTTGTTGTTCATCAGTTCTTCTCAACATAATCACACCTTGACACATTGAGTCGACTGAAAGAGGGCTGTTACTGATTCATACACACCAAACTGTGAGATAAAAGGCTCCTTAATACTTCTCTGCACCTTTCTCTGGGTTGTAGCAGAGCATATGTTACATGTTAGGCCCTTTTCTTCCATACTGGAGGTATTTGAGGTTTTAATGTGCCTCGTGGGTCTTTTACGGGGCACTTCTTAAAACATGATGTTTTTTCTCTTGCATTGTCTGTGGTCCCATCATACTGCATGTGTGACCCACTGCCCTTCAGTTTTTTAAATCTTGTGTGTGTTACAACACATGCGTACACCATTTTTGTTGACTTTGATGACACTTAAAGAACACTCACTCCACACAAATGACAACTATTTTCTAGTCTTTTGTGTTGAAAGTTGACACAGATCACTGCAGCACTTTGTTGCATTTCAGACTAAAAGACAGCACAGTGTTCATTAATCACAAGGCTTACTTATACTTTAATCACATAAGATCCAATGACACACATACATGTTCAGACATTCACACAAATAGGAGAGAACAGCAATATGCCGCAGGAGATATCTCTGAAGAGGGGGAAACAAGAAATTAATTCTCTTGCTCTCTTCACAGATATCTCCCAAGAAAGTCCGGTCGTCCGAAACGCCGTTGCCCAAAGTATGACTTCTTCTTCCCTTCTGTTTTTAACACCCCCTTCCTTTTTTATTTTCCTTTGGTCAGTCAACTCCACTGTTTTGTTTCCACGTCTCCTCTCCGTTGCCTGCTTCCATGCATTCAGGTGGAGGTGGTGTGTCAGCAGGAGCAGGGGGGAACACTGAGAATGACTTCACACACATGACATAACTACATTTCTCTGCCAAAGTCTTCTTTAGGCCTCATCTCCTCTCTCCTCTTCTTCCATTCGCATGTTCTCCAAGAAATGAGGAGACTAACCGTAGCAGCATGTTTCTTGATTTCTCCCTCTTGCTATGGAGCGCCATTGATAATGATGGTGATAATCATGATTATGTTGATGATGATGGGTGCTGAGATGTGAAGTGCATGTTGCCATGACAGCTGATTTTGCTCTACCGTAGGCCCTTCACTTTATAGAAACGGGTCATAAAGGGTTTGCATGTGTTAGCAAAAACCTTTTTACAGTCCATGCCTTGATCTGAATCTCCTCTCCTCTCCTCTCCTCTCCTCTCCTCTCCTCTCCTCTCCTCTCCTCTCTCCTCTCCTCTCCTCTCCTCTCCTCTCCTCTCCTCTCCTCTGTCCTCTCCTCTCCTCTCCTGCTAACCATATAAATATGCCAATTAGCACTTATAAATGTAAAACATCTTGAATCTTGTAAGGAATAATGCTAAATTATTAGTTAAGGGGTCAAGAAATGCAATATCATACTGTTTAGTGTCATAGTGCCAGTTTCACAGTTTTCAGGGAATATAATTGTGATACTGAATTTTATTTATAAAGATTTTTCCAAAGACAGGTAGAACTGACCAAAAGTCAAAGGTGGGGTTATAACTGAATTTTTACAGTTTACATGCAGAGATTCATGACATTTGGTCATTTAGTATTTTGTTACATTTTGTCTAAATAAAGTGCTATAGTCAATCTTTGGCTATTTTAATCTTCATCTTAGGACCAATGTAAACTGACAATAAGTAAACAAATACTACTTAATTGAAGTATACAGGCCTTTAAAACTGACAAAGTAATTAAGTTTCCAAAGTATCACTTTTCTTAAATATCCTACTTAATGGCGATAATTAAATTAAAAAACTTTGACTAAAGACTAAAGAAATGACTTGAGTCAGGATTTGGGGTTTTGAGTTGCAGGTGCAAAGTAAGTTTTGATGGTAAAATTCTGATTTTTCTGCTAGTTCTTCCTGAAGTCTCCGCTTTCCTCCTGCTGTTTTGGCCGTTTCTGAGCACTACAAAATTAACAATGTGATTGCAAACACCCTTTAAATGAACAAACTTTATTAACATATGCTAATTTCTTCCAAAATGTTATAGCTCAATATTTAAAGTGCTAATAGTGCAAGAGAAGATAATAAATGTTTGTTATGCTCCTCAAAACTAAAGTTACAGTTTGAGGGAACTTTTTAGCCAGTGTCACATATCAGGAGGTATATTTTATTCAAAGGGATAACCAAGTGACCATTTTGCTCAAAGTAATCATCAGTAAAATAAAGTCTTTAAAACAAAAGAGGAGCAACATGCTGTCTGCATTGACTGAAGACTGAAATTTGCTACTAGTTTAGGGAGATGGGAATAACAGACATTTAACTTCGTGACTGAATTCAAATCATTGATGAGCTTGTGAATGTACAATTCCCCAGCCTCCCCCAGAGGGAAAAGAAAGCCTGTGTGAATGCAGTTCTGGTTTCACTCTTCTATTCAAATAAAGAAGCTGATCAGAGACTCAGTGGAAAGTTTGATGTCTCTCTGAAGTTTCTTAGGTCACTTCACTCCCACGTCAAATCCAAAGGATTATGCATTGCTCTCACTCGTGTCAGTGTGCAGGCAGAGAATACAAACAAGCACATTTGTGTGCTGGTCATGTGTGAGTTTCTTCTAGTTCGAGAAGGCAAATGAAGGAAGCCATCTTTTTTTGCTCCAATATAGTGAGAATGATAATTGAGGACATGATTGTAGTCTAAATCTGTAACTTGATACTACAAACAAATAAGATTACAAATAAGTGCGTGCGTGCGTGCGTATGTGTGCGTACGTGTGTGTGTGTGTGTGTGTGTGTGTGTGTGTGTGTGTGTGTCTCTGTCTGTGTGTCTGTCTGTCTGTGTGTGTGTGTGTGTGTGTGTGTGTGTGTGTGTGTGTGGGTTGCATGGCATAGGATGCAGCAGCCTCCAGTCTGGCAGACCACCAGTACTTTCCTCATCAAACAAAGCAGAGGGACAGAGTACAGTAAAAGGTCAATGTTGTGTGTGTGTGTGTGTGTGTGTGTGTGTGTGTGTGTGTGTGTGTGTGTGTGTGTGTGTGTGTGTGTGTGTGTGTGTGTGTGTGTGTGTGTGTGTGTGTGTGTGTGTGTGTGTGTGTGTGTGTGTGTGTGTGTGTGTGTAGGTTGAACAGTTGTGAGAGGTCGATGTGGCTTCCATGCTGAAATAACTACTACCTCTGCCCTCTGGCTTGTGTGCTCATCGTTTATTCACGAGGCTTGTAGCCTTGTTGTCAGAGCGCTCATCTCAGCTGAGCATTAGTATTGCTCAAAGCCTTGGCTCTCATCTCTTTCTCTCCCCTTGCTTGCCCCCCCCCCTTCCACCAGCAGCCCTCAGCACACATGCTAATCCAGAAGTATAGGCTGACACCATGCCCTAACAGCATTTCCATGTTTTAAACATTGTGCTCTTAAAGCTTCTTTTGCACTCTGACAATCTAAAGTGTGTGTGTACCTGTGTGTGTGTTTTGCGTGTTTGTCTGTGTGTGTGTGTTTGGTGCATGAGTGAGTGCTCTGTAGCTACTTCTGCACAAAGCAGCATATTTATGTTGCATTTGTTGATGTTGACGTGTTGATGGTTGATTTGTGTTCGTGTGACTGGAGATTACATGTGTGTTAATGTGTTGCATTCATTGGCAGCAGCAGGGGCAGTGCCGTGGCTATTATTAATGGCAGTCTCATGTTGCACCTTGACTTTGACACTCTCAAATTGCCGACTCCTATGGAGCTGTGGAGGTAATTTACCATGATGGCGTTTGTGTGTGTGCTTGTTGATTTGTACGCATATGCACAGTTTGTGTGAGTGTGTTTGCATGTGTTAATGCGTGCTGGCTAATGTGGTCTGTGTGTTCATGTTTTCTCATGTTTCCTCTGCCTTAAGCCAGAATTAGATGACTGCATGCTTGTAAATGAGATAAATAATAGCCTTGTAGGAAAGGCCACAGTTGTAAAAGGAAGGAGTTTAGTGGCAGCTGATTCTTTAATCATTATTATGTTAGAGCGTTATTTCCTGTTTCTAATGAACCTTTTTTTTAACTTACCTTTACAGGGTTCAACTTTCCTCTGCCTATGTATGTTATTTGAATAACTTCTGAGGCTTTAAGAAGCTGCAAAAACAGACTTTTTTTTTTTTATCAGATCATTTCCTACAAAAAATATTCTGCAATAAGAAAGACTAGAGAGACCAGGTCTAAACTGTAAAAATCTCTGATTCCATAGAAACATGTAAAATATTAACCTGGGGGTCTGCAGTTTACTATCAGAAGTGTTCTGATTTCCATTTGCAGCCTTAGTAGTATTGACCAATCATGTATCAGCAGGCTTTGGTACAAAAGCAACCTCAACAACATCCTGGCTACAATCAACAGTAATATGAGAGTTATTTATTTACATTTATAAACAGATATCTGAATGCAAGTGCAGCTAATAATCTGTTTAAGATTTTTTTTAAATCTGTTTTTATACTGTGTCGCAAAAGCCAAGTCTTGGCTGGAAGTTGTTTAACAATAACGACTGGTTTTACTGGACTTACAGAGAATTTGGCAAACCGTTATCAGATATATATACTGTCATCAAACTATAGCAGATAGGTTCTGCAATCCAACTATTAAAATATAATAAACTATGTTAATTGAAATATTCAAGAAAAAGCAGGAAGATGCATCTTTTGGTTAGCAATAAAGGGATTCTATTAAGCAACAGCAGTAAACTTTGTATTGTGTACTTCATTTCAGAAGTCAGACAGAAAAACATGATATGCTGAGTGGTCAGTTACTGCCAAAACTTACTTGAACAGGTATGAAATTCTGTGTTTTGCTTCAAGAGTTAGAAAGGTAAATGAGAAATATAAGTTGGAGCAGAAGAGACTAAATTGTATGGAGACCATGGACTATATAAAAAAGGGTAGACATTGCATATTTGTTTTGAAAGTGATGCCAATGATAAAATGTATAAACCTGCGATCTGACAAACTGATTGTGGTCTGACTGTAAGGGAGTGTCTGTGATGGTCACATGTAAAAAGACATACTATTTGGACTCAGATAGGACGATTGCCATGCTTTTTAGTTGATTTTTTTATCTTAGCTAACATTTTACAAATATGTTTATGGTCTCCACTTCTATTTTCTAGTCTTGTTCAACACAGCATGATGTTCATAGTGTGGATTATGTTCCAATTTAGAGAATAATTGACGACAACAGTGCTAAAGGTGTGGCTACATGAGCTCGGTAGGTCACAAGTACAGCAACCTTTCATTCAGTTTTGAGACATTGCATTGTTTATCCAAAAACTCATCCAAATATTTAAACTTTCTGTTCCTGAACTTAAGTCTTCAAATCTGCAATTTATCAACACCATAATGATAATAATGATAATGATAATAATACTTTGATTTATATAGCTCTTTCAATCAAAGTGCTGCACATAGCTAATTAAAAAGACAATTTAAAAACATTTCAAACAACGTAGAAACATACAGACAACTTATAATTCATACACAACAGTAAACAAGTGGGTCTTTAGCTTTGCTTTCAACACCTCAACAGAACATGCTTGGCTAATGTGGCAAGCATGTTGTTGTAATGTGGTAAAGTTTTCCATTAAGTTGAGTACGGAATGTAATTTAACTGAATGAATTTCAAAAACATTTTTTTTTACCTTTGGGGCACTAACAAGACCAGTCCCCTGGGAACGCAGAGTCTGTGCAGGCACATAC